AAAACAATCGATGCATTCTCAGTTCCGAAATTCGTTGTCGGTCTATCTTGCCATTGGTGTCGCTTTCTCTATTTCGCTGGAGTAGTCTGTCGTTCGTCGACAATTCATAGCTCTCATGTCGCCTTTTCAAGGCCATGTCGCTTGCCGGAATTTACCCCTAACAGGGTCTCCCAATCTGGCGAAAGACCAGTGGTAACGAAATCGTACCATCAGACTCACTGCCGCAAAGTTTATCATCGGTGCGGATTTCTGTTGTTGAGAGACTGCTGTCATACGTCATGCCAAAACATATTTCATTACAGCATGGTGTATATTGAAGCCTACTGGTGCGCCGCAGTTCAGAATGTGGACAAGGACAGTGGAATATTATTTGGTGGTGTTTACACCTCTACTGAGCCTAACCCTGTCACTGGTTTACAAAGCTGCCCACATAGATTCTACGCCATGCCTTTTGGCAGTCATTCTCACGTGTGTCTTAGCGACGATTATGAACTCGGCTGTCAGTTCGCTTTTACCTTTTGTCGGATTTTTCAGCTGTTCATCTGGCAATCCTCTCGCTGTGCCTCACAAGAGAACCCAGGAAAGGAGTGGCAAGACCGCACCGCGAGTCTCCCCTGTAGAACGTTTACTTGAAGAAGATGGAGAAGGAACATTAAACGGCCCACAGAACTGCCCCCGAGGCTACAGTCAGCACCTCATGGCTGTAGATAACGAATGCGAATAAACTACTGTGCGAAAGCCAACTCTTTGGCCAGATTGTCCAACACGGCAGTAAAAAGACCCCCTTAAAATGCCCGCCCTGGGGTAAGCCCGAACGCAGCCAGAAGGCTGATGGTTGTTGGAGTAAACGGTGAAGTTTGGCACAAGATCGATTCGATGGCCGAGTGGACCCTGGCCTCTTTTGCGGCTCGTGATGAGGACGACTCGCCGGACCCCCTTGTATCTGGGGACCAAACTAAACCCATGTCCCAAACCGCTGCCATTGCCCTTAGCGTGCGCGCTGCGATCCTGGCAGGAATATTAGCCATTGCTGTGTTTATTAGTTACAAGAGGCGTCAGACTACAAGAAAGTACAGAGCAGCTTCTTTAAAAGAGGTCCTAACGCCCAACGAAACAACCCCTCTGAACACAGAGAACTCCTAAAAAGGAGTTATGGACTATTATTGATTGAACTGGAAACTAGTGGATTTACCTTAGGATAAGTTGAATTTGTGAAAGTTCACAGAGAACATAATTTTCGTGAAAATATAATGGTTTTAATTTATAAACTGCCAGTAGTAAATTGCCAGTGACTTCCGAACAGGAATAATTATTGTTAATGTGGAGGTTCAAAAAGTTCAAATGTATTTAATTCACACCAATGACGGATTTTATATTTTTAAAATGTAAATAAACTATTAATGAGTAACATTCAAAAGAAAAGAACAATTTTACTTTGAGATGTAATAGAAAACCTCTCATTTTTATATGAAACTATATTACTATGCTAATAAGCTTGATGAGCTGTGGTAAAGCACAGGCTTCTGGGATAGGGGAGAGTGTGTTTGAGTGGGAGGGTATTAGGGAAAGGGATCGAGGGGTCTATGGAAAATATATTGCAAAGTTCCCTTTCCCCAACAACGTCAACTGTGAGTCGTGTGTAAACTACACGATTTGGAGTTTTCACAAGAAGGAGCAAACACTGTATAATTGTACTGTAACAAACTTTAGACTATTATTTAAAATTGGCACTGTGTGCGTCAGGGCACAACAACAACACTTGGGCTGAGTTTTGTCTCATTTGTCCTTTTTTTTTGACGAATAGCAGACTCTACTAAATGTATACTTTAAGTACTTGACGTTCATGTACAACCATGCACCATGGCAACAGCACACAATTATTCAAAATTGGAATTGTGTGCAACAACAAAACTGGGGCAAAGGTTTTTTTCTTTCTTTTTGGTGAATAGAAGGCTGCATTATATTTTCAATACTTGACCTTCCTGTACAACTATGCACCAAGGAAATAAAATTTTGTTGACACCACCTAATGTCTGTGGGTATCAAGATGTCTGCGATGTACAGAGTAGTACATGTACATGTACTAAACTGTACTAGACTGACATTTTCCAACAGAAATGCAGTGCAAGTAGACATATCCTGCCTGAAGCTGATATTGCACATCAACTTGTGCTGTCCATCTTTAGACTGGTTCACAAGATGGTGTATGTCAAGCTGTTCGACTGTTTTAATTAGTCTCGATCAATGAGGGTACCTCTTGTTTTCTTGGACTGGTCTTGTTTTAACTGGGTGAAAAAAGCACAATTTAATAAACAAATGAAATGAAATACAAATATATTGTATGTGACAAAATAAAATAAAAAATCAAATAATGTGCAAGGTACATGTATAATCACATTCCATTACGATTTTCAGTTGAGTAAGGTGCGACGAAAGTTTGGTTACCATGTTAAAATCATGTTGTTGGCATGGGCAACTGGCGCCATTTCCAGTGGCAAGTTGTCGGCCTTTGACATCAATGACATAGAAGTGTAGGCAACGCAGAATTGTAGGCGACGCGACAGGTGACGCACAGCTGTTGATATTTTTACCAGTGGAAATGAGGTACAGTGTAAGTTGCCAGTGACAACATCGTAATTTTAAGGCTAAAAGTTTGTCACCAAACATTCGTCGTGCCTTACTTTTCTCAACTGATAATTGTAGTACTTGAGGGCCATAATGAAAATTATACATGAATTTGAATGCAGTTTTCATGCTTAAAAAGCCTTGAAGCTTCAATTTCTACTTAAAAGTATTACCCAGAGAGAAATGCAGACACTTAATTATTACCTGGTCTATAGCTGCCCTTTTCTGTGCTGTTGTTTTCCTTTCAAGTTGCTTCTCAATGATCTGGGCATTGTGAGCATAAGATGAAGCAACTTCATGCTGGAGAAACATGAGGAAAGAATGCAATACAAGTCAGTGGGTAACATATAGAGAATAGCCTGTAGAAAGCACACATGCTGTCATAGCTAGCCACTGGGATGTGTGAAAAGTTTTCAATCTATGTATATAGGAACACAAAAAATTTCAATGAAATACAATCTTTCTAAAAGCCAGAAAACATTTTCTCACTGTGTATCTTAAGTTAGGAAAACACATCTATTCTCATGAAACTTTGGAAGATCTTCAAATTTTATTTGCAGCATAAACAGTGCATGTCTGTACACGCACATGTACATGTACACATCTCGTGTTCATATATCTACAATACAACACATGTCTACATTTTGAGATCAATATAATGTGTGCATGGAATTCCGATGAATAAAAAGCAACACTAATTCATGTCGCATAATATCAAAACCTACAGTTACTGCAACAACACAGGAAATCACATCATGATTTGAAACAATCAATTGCATTGCACCTGTTCAATTTCCTCCTCTTCTTCATCAATAGTAGATACTGTCACAGAACTGAATTTACCAAATTCTTTTGTCCTCTTTGTGACCATAACCTAGTGAAGGGAAGAACGATGTTAGTTTTGGATGAGCTGACAGCCACTCAACCAACCTATAATATTATTCTGTTCTACTACTGAACAGCTTGTCATTTTGTAACATTACAAAGTTGACACTCTCTTTAGCAGACACCCTGAAAAAGTACAAATTTAAGTGTCTGTAACAGGGGCTATATGTAGCCGGTTACGGGACAATATTCCAGCCCTTTTCATTTCATGAAATTTGTGGTTTGAATTCTCAGAAATTTCCAGTGATGAATGGATAGCATTTTCCAGAATTTCTGGAAAAGGGGACAACCTTGTGAGGTATACCCAAATTTTCAGAAAAATAATGTCTTACTGGGAATTTCATTCCCATTGACTTTACTCCTGGAATTTCCTAACTTTTTCAGTTGAATGGTTTGCTTTTTGGAAGTTTAACAACTTCTGGATTTTCTGGAAATTTTCCCAGGAAATTTCTGTACTATTTGTCCCTGTTTTGAAATTTTTGGCCCCTAGCAGTGCAAGAAGTAGCTGGCTGCTTATGGGAGCTTGCATCACTTAGTATACATATCAGTCATATCAGTCATGAACACTAAATATTGTTAATGTGAACAACAACTACATACAGTACAGATACATGAACAGATATAAATTCACAACATTAAAACAAATAATTGGGGTGTTGTAATTAGATGCAGTGTTGATGTTTTATACAATCAAAAAGAACCTGGATTCATGATTATTTTGTTATACTAATCACTTACATATTTCGGCTGACAATAAACCCAAGAAGACTTTTAAACAATAAGATCTTGAGTTCCTGGCCTTGTTTATCTTAGGTTTTGTTTTTAGTTACCATAATAATTTATTTTATTTTATGGTCAGGAATTACAGTACCTTATTTGCCATGGGTTTGATGGTCGTAGTGGCATGACTGTCTCCAGTTTGAACCAGTGCTCCTAAGGAAAGACCAGATGGCATGCTGATACATTTAGCATACAAGTATGTGTAGTTCGTACTACTCAGAAATGAAGGGGCTTTTCAAAGGAAATAAATATATGTGCACAAATTCCTTTTCCAGGATACAGTTCTACCTTGGTGTGTTAATCATGTAAATGTATTTGAATAAATTGAGCAAACGACTTATGAAGTGTTTGTGGAAATGGCATATAATGTATAAAGATGCAGGAGTTTTCCAAGAGAACAAACTTGAAATGTCCAATGTACATGTACATGAGCAAAGGGCATTTTCATAGAGTTCTCAAGGACCCAGAAATAGAATTTTAAAATTCCAGATCAGAGTGTTCCAGTGAGTACCCTGTTGAACTGCTCTCGGTCTCAATTTTGAATACTGCTTTGCGTGAAAATGTATTGTTATTGACAGGAAATGCTTGAATTTAGTCACTCCTTCAAATAAACAGCTAGGCAAGTTCACAGTTACTGCTAACAATAACCATGTTTATCAATGGTAATCAACTTTAATTGAAATTTTTCTGACTGTCACTCTATGACTTGATGAACAATTTTACAGCCTGATGCATAATTTCCATGATAATCATACAATCAAGTCATGTAACTAGAAATGGTTGAAAAATCCTCTCTTGAGCAGACTTTTTTCCCCTACATAATTTGGCCCCCCAAATCCAGCACAATTTTTTTTGCTGCACCCTGTCAGAAGCCTTGGTAAAAGGCCAGGCAACAGGTAAATAGAACTGACATTGACATACAAAAGTGGACATACACGTACATGTACATAAAAGCCCTTACCATCTACAACAAATGTGACAGTTTGATCTTTCTTTGATGGTCTGTAAAACAGCCACAGATTGCACCTGTTATGTCAAAATGAAATCAAAGAAATAATTATTATACTCAAGGGGCATTTTAATGAACATGTTGGCATAAGATAGTAACTCAAGATAAGAATACAACGCATACAATCGTATACATATGTATACAGCTGGCTCCAGTAGTTTGAAGACTGGATAACACTTTCCACTGGACAAATCTCTCTCCAGTGGGTAAGTGTTAACAAAACAAACCATGCTAAATGTGTCTCCTGGATAGTGACTTATCCAGTGGATGGCGTTATCCACCCTTAATACTTATCATTGTTCACTCACTTTTTGCATTTTAAGCGGAACTGCCTCTCAATGCCATTTGGCCTATAATAAAATAAATTAGAAATTGCATTCAACTTGAAAAATCAAAATTTTTATGGACTAAAAGATCTACACTTCCCAATAAGAGCAATACACCCCATCAGTTTTTTTTCTTCAAGCAGCAACTGAGACATTTTTCAGGAGTGTATTTCATTCACAAATCTCACAAAAAGGTTGATGGCATGCAGCCATTAAAATTTAGTCAGTACATGTTAGACTCAATTAATATACATGTACTACACCTAATTTTTGTGGTCTAAGAATATAATATTATACACTACAATGTTTTGCTCAGTAAAGTAAGAAATGCCCAGTTAATAATTATGACCATGTCACTGTTATGGCCACTTTACATGTACATGTACCTTAGCCCAAATAAATGGGTAGAGAGAGTGATCAAGAGCTGAATATGGACAAACCTGCTGGGAAAAGCAGTCTAAAATAATATTCATGCATAAACAAATAACTGCCTAATTGTATTGGATCTACACAGAGTGTATGTATAGTATACCTTTTCAAGAACACAGTATCACCATCAATGCAGTTGAGCTTATGGGCATGTTTAGAACCATCTATGACTCTGGCATGATCTGTTCTTCTTAATGGAAGTTTCTCTAGAGTACTGTCTGCAAAAAAATGACAAACAAGATTATTAAATTCTCAGCCTCGGATAATGCAATTCTAGCTTTCTGATTGGTTCACTGGAT